TACCATTAATTTTAGAAGTGCTAAAGGACTGAACTATGGGTCTTGATGAAAACAATTTGTTTTGCCTTATCAGAAAACATAATAATCTGGCACTCCTGCCTTTCAAAGAGAGTGTAAGATCTCAAAACAGATTAAGATTTTCAGCAGACTAAAAATCTAGTAGGTTCCAAGATCCTGTTCCCTGTTTTTTAAGTTATGAGTTCATAAGTCTTGTCCTTGTTGACATTTGTTCCTGAGAAACATGCTAAAATACTCCCAGTGAAAGAAAATATTTTGAAGCCAGCAAATGGAACTACCATAAACTAATATTAAAGTACCAGGAACCAAAGGTGGGGACTTAACATTGAGTGTCAAAATGTGAGGAATGTAAATACCAGGAATATATGAAATACTTCATTAATTTATTCCAAGTTTCAGATAATTTTTCGTCTCAGGTTTGAAGTTCCATATTCTCACACTACAGCATTTTCATTTATATACATAGATCAAATATCCCTATAAGGATGCAGCACCAAACCCTACTTGTTTACATTGTTCTGCTTTTATTTTGCACATATTTCATTACGTATTTTTCCCTTGCTAAAACAAGAAAACTGCTGAAATGAGAACTCGCTTATCTACTAAATCAACATCTTGAAAGTTTTAGGTGGCAAAGTCTGCAGATAGCGGACTAATGCCAAGTCAACATTTTCTTACATTACCTCAAAAACTTTTATGCTTCCTTTTCTATCAGAGATCTCACAAGATCTCTGTATTTGCCTGTCAAACAGAAGCTGTGCAGCTGTAAGTAAAATGATAATTGGAAAGATAATGTTAGTGGTATTCAGGCATCCCTCTCAAAGCAGCTTAGTCATATGCTGTTATGGAATAAAAACTGGATTGGCTGAGTAAGGGAATTTACTGTTTCCCAGGAAAGGAAATTGCCTGCAACACATCTGGCAAAACGTTCTAAATGTTTGGTTTTGACAAAATATACATTTCAGCTCTTCTTATAAGGTGAGTTCTGTAGAGTGAGTATCTTCTTTCTAAAAAGGGAAAGATCTAATTTGTACTTTAAATATACCAAGCCACCATTTGTTATTTTATGTCAAATACTATATACACTCCACTATAAAGCAAGCAGGAAATCACAGGCTAAGCAGCTATATTTCAGTTTGCAGAATAAATGTACCACTCCGTATCAACAGCAGAAGTAAAAGATGAAGAGAAAAAAGAACATGACAAAAACACCAGGAGGAAGCAACTGGTCTGAATTACAACTTTTTACTCAATTTCATACTGGCATATATAAGATTCCATGCCAAATTATTTACATTCCTTCCTACTTCAACATGTCTAACAATGAGATGTTCCTTCTCATAATTGACAGGAGACAGATCTTCTCTGTCATTCAGTTTTTCTGGAATAAGCCCTGCCCTGCCCTGCGAGCAGACTTGTTATTATGCCTCTGAGGCTCAGTAAAAAGGCTGTATTCAGGCATCTTCCTTCCTCCTCCTCAGTTTTCAAGGACAAAAATGTATTTAACTCGCCTTACTTTTCACACCAGTTTTCTAAATTTAGCTGTTACTACTTTCTTTCCCCCTGAACTCTGACTGGCTTTGACTCCCTGGGGAAGCAGAGAAGACCACTTCCTCCTCCACAGCTGGGAAAGCTGCTCCCAAAGGGATAGAAAGGGTGAAGGATCACAGTCAAATGCTCCAAAAGATGCACCAAATACGGCACCATCCTGTAGTGAAGGGTTAAAGGGATGTATATTTATTTTGTTGGCAAGGTGAATGCTCACTAACTTTCTTGGGCAGTGGGAAAAAGCACTTCATTAAAGCAGTCGGAGCCTGTTGGACCCAGATGGGGAAACGGCAAAATCCTCCCTCAGTTGTATGTGTGTGTGTGTGTTGGGGCTTGTATTTCAGTTATTGCCCCTACAGCCTGGAAATATCAAGGAAAAGCTGGGGAACACACTACCATGGTGAACCTCAAGGTGTTACTCCAAGAGCTAGATGAGAAGCACAGCCAAGGAGTCAACTGGTGGTGCCTGCTGCGCTGGTAAGGGTTTGCCATTAGTCATTTGTTGTCACTTCTCAGAATACCTCCACTTTCCATACCTTTTCCTGGAACTGCTGACAGCTGCCATAGCAACTGGCCATTCGTTCATTCATTCAAAAAAACCCCAACACTCCAAACTAAAAAAAAAACAACCCAAAAAACCCCAGCCCCCCAAACCCCCAAACCACAAAAAACCCCAACCCAGCCAAAAAAACCCAGTAAAAGGTGAACTAGTTTCTCTTTCCAGTATTCATACAACCACAGTTCTCCCTAGTGGAGGTCCAAGATACAGCAAGCCTTGTCAGGCAGCCTCCAAGTTCAGTTTTGTTCCTGGCCCCATTACGGCTCAACGGCCTCCCAGGGTCACGCGTGGGCCTTTTCTAAAGGAAACCAGACTCCAGTTCAAACCTTTAGAGACACTCCAGACTCTCCTCAAAACCCCAGCAAAACCGAGCTGCCAGATTACGTTGGTGATCTGGCTCACTGGTGTGGCATACAGGTGGCAAGCTTCATAGCACTTCAAAAACTATTGATTTAATCAAGCCTCTCATGGAGATCCTGTCTAATGAATTCTTCGCATCCCTTAAATCTTGTCTTTTTATATACGTACAGTCCCTTGAGTAGAGGTCTAATGATTAAAACGAAAACTACAAAGACTACACTGGTCAGGCTCACCTTTACCTTTAATATATAACTAAAGAATTAAAAAAATCCATGCAAATGTACTCAGAAAAAATTAAGATTATCCTCCAGTTCTTTCTCATTAGGAGGCAGATACTTTCAAGGCTGGAGCAATCTTACTTTTGGCACTACTCTATTGAGGGCCCTGTATTTTTGGGGCTAGCTGTGAGAGCAAAAGCAAGCAGGGCACAGACCGATTTAAAGACAAGTACAAGTCATAATAGGAAGTTCTTATTTAATTTAGCAAATTAATTAAAAATACTCCAATAACAGAAAATACTGAATTTGAATGTCTGGTTAGATACCCAGAAAAGCTTCACACAGTCTAGTGTATAAATCTAAACCTACATGCTGTCTTCACTGGATAATAGCAGGTTTCTCAACTACCTTGCAAAAGACTGTTATTCACATGGAATTAAACAGTCTTTCCAAGACTTCAATACATCAAAAAGTAGAAATCAGTATCCAAAAAGCTTTTGAAATTTCATTAACAATGCAGGTAGTCGTCGCATTAACTTGCTTTGCTATTGCAATACAAAGTTGAAGGGATGGAGAATGCATAATTTATATGCCAAACCCTCCAAATATGTACATTTTGTAGCATATAATCTTGACTGTATCCCAAGTTACAAACTTATTCCTCCATTTCCTCTGGCTGGAAGGATGAACAATGGCAGATGAATACTCCACAGGGAAAAAAAAATCTGACAAATTAGTTCCACAGGTCAAAGTCCAAGTATAATTAGAATCTTTCTGGAAGTCTCCAGAATTGAATTCTAGAGATTTTCCTTTCTGGAGGTAACTATGTAGTATGTAAAGAAGTCCCAACAGCTTCCAACAATGCAAGGCATGCATTTTAGCTGCTACAACTATTTTTGACAGCCCCTGAGCACAAGTTCCACAATTGTAAAAAGTAAAAGCCACACTCTATGAAATACAGCAAGTTGTATAAGAAAGTCTGTCCTAAGAGATCCCGAGGCACGCTGGGATTTTCCTCGTGGAAGAGAAACTTTGGTCTGTAATTCATGTTAGTTTGCCTAGTGTGGTATTCCCTTTGTTTATTTTAATTAAGAAAAATCTATAGCTTCCAGATCCAGACCTAGCAAAACTCTCAGGCAGTTTGTCTTCAGGAGTCAGCATCTTAGCGTGCTGGTTTCAAGAAGACATTTTCTAAAACAGAGGAGTAATCTTTTCCAAAATTTCAGTGGAAGCAACTCTTTCCCAGGCTTTGGTAAGTTAGTTGGTTAGTAATTTTCCGCTTTTTCAAGCTCACCGATCATTGCAGAGAACATGGGAGCGGGAAGCAGGGGGAAGCTCCTTTTTACTCTTACATATATGTTTCAAATACTTACTTTATTGGAGTTTCCCTCACCTTTTACAGGTGTTTCCCACTTCCAAGGGCACAGAATTGGGCTAGCAAGAGCTGATGGGGTAACTGCTCTTCAGCCATGCCGTTTCCTGGGGCATGCCTTACTGCCACTGCCTCTGGATAGTTATTGCCTCTTCCAGTCCCAGCTGACTTGTGATTTGTAACTCTTGTTAAGCTTAGCACTTCCAAAGTTAGCCATTTAATACAGACCAAAAAAGCCTTAAAAAAAAAAAAAGCTTGAAAACAGTTAACTCTTGAAAGGCATGCCAGAAAAAGAGTATTCGTCTCAGAGATTCAGTAAAACACAAAGTCTGTGTTCAGCTGAAAACTTTTAATTAACCCCCTCTCTTGTTCTCTCTGCAAGGACATGCCCAAGCCTGCTTTTGTACGCTTAGGACAGGGTCTTTTGCTGTAATTACACAATGCGTCGAACACAAACGAAATTACATCTTGGTCCAGCACGTTTAAAAAAAAAAAAAATTTTTTTTAAGAGGAACAAGCAAGCCCAGGAACTTGGTTTTTTGGGGGGATGGAGAGTGTTGAAAAAGGATTACCGCCACGAATAATTTAGCAGCCTAGTCGGAGGCTGTCGGAACTGATTGCTCTGTCTAGGAAATTCTCAATTAGAGCCGTGCTGCTGGAATTCACCGGGCTCCCCCCGCCCCCCCGGGCTGTCCCGTCCCCCCGCACCGCTCCGCGCTGGCGGAGCCGGGGGGGGGGCGGGGCAGCCCCCCTCCCCAAGCCCGCCCG